ATGCTGGCTTCATAGAAGGAATTTGGAAGCTCTCCTTCCATTTCTATCTTTTTGAATAACTTGGATGTAGATACTCTTTAGCTATCAGGTTTTTAAAAAAAACTATGTTAGTTAGGCATGCTAGCGCCTGCCTGTGTCCCAAATCTGAAGATTAGTGGAAAGAAGATCAGGAGTTCAAAGCCCGTATCAGTTACATAGTTAACTCAAGACCAGCCTGGGCTAATTCGAACCTATCGTTCATAAATAAATAAATATATGATTTAAAGACATGATGTTTATCTGCAAGTTTAGTTTAAATCAAGCTTATCTGCAAGTTTACCTGCACGTTTAGTTTGTGTCCAACATTTGAATGTTTCTCAATAAGTCATGAAATTTGAGGGAATTTCGTATATTCACTTAAGAATTGAGATCTAATGCATATTAATAATACTTTCATTAGTTTCAAGTTATAAGACCATTTTATCTTAGTTTCATTCTCTCTCATTTTTAATCAATATTTTACTAATAAGAGAAAGAAATCAAGTAAGACTATATGAATAATACTAGCATTAAGTTGTTTTTAGCTCATGTTGTAAAATTGTCACATTCCTAGATTTCTCTGTAGAGATTACCTATGTATTTATATAGTGGTAGTAGTCAGTCCAAGGGTCCCTTTGAATCTTCAGAGCTCTGGGAGAAAGAATGTGCCATCCTCTGTACCATCTCAGCCTATTTTCAGATGTGATGCTGCTTCAGTGCCCACAGAGCATCCTTCGTACTAGAGTGCCAGAGGAGTGGCATTCCAAGACACTACCTCCTTCTCACTTTCTTTATTAATTACTTTCTCATTTTTCACTTTAAATTTTTAAATATAGAAACTCATGGAGAATGATACAACAAATACCCATGTAGCCACATTGAAAATTCATAAATATTAATATTTTGATTGCATTTTGCTTCATATTTATTCATATAACTAGGTATTTGAAATAGAAAATTTCAAAAGAGGTCAGACCGTCTTTGTTTATTTCCTAGTACCATTTTCCTCCCTCCTACCACAGAGATAAGCAAGCCCACAGGATTCCCTTAATAGTCCTCTCCATGTTTAAATTTTATTACATATGTATTTATCAATTTGGTTTAATGTATTATGTCTGAATGTGCTCAGATTGCGTGGCTTTTTTCAATTTTACAAAATAAATAAATACTCTCTTAGTTTGCTTTTTCAGCCAATGTTGTTTTTAAGGTGTATACATGTCTGCACATAGAGGTTTCATTCATTTCTGTAACCACAGAATCTGAACTATGGAAGTGCCACAATCTATTTACTCTTATTAATATATAGTTATCTTACCTTACTTTTTCTTTACACATAGTCTGTTTTTAGTAACCAGCCAACCAACAAGGGTGTATTGTGACTCTAATCAGATACCCAGCTTTTTCCTTGTAGGGGACATTGAACTCATAGACAAGGCCAGTGTAGAAGTAAGGCAGGTACAACTGGAGAAATGGCTCAGCAGTTAAAAGTGCTTGCTGCTCTTGCAGAGGCCCTGAGTTCAGTTCCCAGCACCCACACTGGGCAACTCACAACCACCCATAACTCTAGTACCAAGGGATCTAATGCACTCTTCAGGCTTCAACAAGCCCCTGGTGCACCTAGTAAACATAAACACATACAGGCACACATACGTATAAATAAATAAATAAATAAATAAATAAATAAATAAATAAATAAATCTGTTTTGAGACAGGATTTCTCTGTGGCCCAAGCTGGCCTGGAACTCACTATGTAGGTCAGTCTGGCCTCCATCCCACAGAAATCCACCTGCCTCTGCCTTCCAAATACTGGGATTAAAGACCTGTGCCACTAGGCCTGGCTAAAGCTTTTTTAAAAAAGGGATTAAGATAGAATAGAAACAGAATACGACCCCTGTTATGTTTTCTGACTCATCTATTGTTTTTGGTTGTAGTTACTTTTGAAAGCATGAATTTTGAAAGTTCCTGGATTTTCAGAATAAATCTTTAACTTTTTAAAAAACAATTTTCTTATTTTAGGCGCTTGTTTAGACTGCCAGGAAAATAGCAAAGGAGAGCACTGTGAAGAATGCAAAGAAGGATTTTATCAGCGTCCTAATGCCACTAAAGAATGCCTTCGCTGCCCTTGTTCAGCAGTGACCTCTACAGGCAACTGCATCATAGGTAAGACTTTTTCTAAAAGTTCCCTTCTGGGTGGGGATCAGTTAATACTTTATCAAGAGTTATACATTGCATCGATGAATCAGACTCTGGATGCTATATATGAATGCGAGTTCTAAAACCAGCCAAGGTGTTCCTTTCTAGGAATTTATAATCCAATCCTAATCTGCATGTGAAATGAGACTTCAGATGTCCAACAATGACACTGAACTCAAAAGGGACTTTGAGCACATTTCTTGGTAACATGAGTTAATTCTTCTAAAGCACTAAATAATGTAACCAGGCATAGTAGCACACATACCTGTAATTCCAGCACTTGGGAGGTAGAGGCAGGAGGATCAGGGATTTGGGACCATTCTCTGGCTACCCAGTGAGTTCTGGGCCAGCCTGGGTTGCATGAGACCCTGTCTCAAACCAAAAAACAATAATAAAATAATAAATTTGGGACAATTTAACTGAATAGCCCTAGTTTGGGTTCTTTGTCTCTTCCTCCTCTTCCTTTTTAAATGGTATTACATATAATTTATTTAAACTATGCAATTTGGTGCTTTTAATATATATGTACAGTGCTATATAGTCATCATCTCAGTCAATTTTAGAACATTTTCATAACTTCTCCCAACTAAAAATCTCAGAGAAGGAACCCTGTAATCATTAGCAGTCACTCCCATTTCCTCTAGCCTTAGGCAGCCACAAGTCTGCTTTTTATTTGCCATAGATTTGGTTATTCTGAATATTTCCTATAAATAGGCTTCTTTCACATAGCATATTTTTAAAGTTCATCCATTTTATAATTTTCATCAGCATTGCATACTTTTTGTTGTCAAATGATATTTATTGTATAGCTGCCACATTTTATTTATTTGTTCATGAGTTGATGGACATTTAACTTGTTAACGTTTTTTTCTATTACAAATAATGCTTTTATGAACATTTTTATTTATGTTTTTGTGCGTGGAAGTGTTGCCAATGTACCCTCAAGTCAATGGTTGCTGGATTTTTTTTTCCCCACTACTAGAAGTTGAAGCCGGGACCTCATTCATGCATGTTGGTCAAGCACTCTGCCATGAGCTACTTCCTACAGTGGTTGCATATACAGTGCTTCCATTTCTCTTGGGTATATAACTAGGGCTGGAGTTGCTGGGCTGTGTATCAACTCTGTTTAACTCCGTGAGGAAGCTATCAGATGATTTTTCCAAAACGAGCACACCACTTTTATATTATTGTGTGTATGCAGTGTAAGTATGTGTGTATGTGTTCCTGTGAGTGTATACATGCTTGTGTGGAGGACAGAGGTATGCATATTAGGTGTCCTTCTCAGTTACTCTCCACCCTGCTTTTTAAAAATATTATTTTATGTGTGAATGCCTGCATATATGTATCTATGTGAGCTTGATGCCCAAGGAATCCAGAAGAGGTCATCAGATCCCCTGAAGCTGGAGTTAAGGACAGTCGTAAACCACTGCATCAGTGCAGGAAACCCGAGTCCTCAGCAAGAGCAGCCAGTGCTCTTAACCACTGAGCTATCTCTCCAGCCTCTCCACCCCTATATTTTTAAAAGATTTATTTTTTAATTATGTGTATGCATTTGTGTTGGGTGTTGAGGGTTGTGGGATATGAGTGCAGTTGTCAGTGGAGGATAGAAGAGGGTGTCAGATCCCCTGGAGCTGGAATTAGAGACAGTTGTGAGCTGCCCAACGTGGATGCTGGAGACCAAACTTGAATCCTCTGCAAGAGCAGTACTTGCTATTAACTCCTGGCCATCTCTTCAACCTTGATACTTTGTTTTTGAGATAGGCTCTCTCATTGAATCTGAAGTGTGCTGATTTGGCTCCACTGGCTGACCAGCAAGCTCTAAGGATCCACCTATGTCCACATCTCCTGCTTGGCTTGGGATTTCTCATGAGGTTTCAGTCAGTATGTGTATTAGTCAGGGTTCTCCAAAGAAACAAACTGGTAGAATGAATATATATATATATATATATATATATCACCACACTGGAGAGGCTGAGAATCCATAGTTGCTCAGTCCACGAGGCTGACTCAAGGCTAGATGTCTCAGTAGTCCCAATCTGGTGCTGAAGGTCTAACAAATTCCAAAAGATCAGCTAGTCTTCAGTCTACAGCAGCAAGACGAACTCACCAGCAAGAGAGAAGGCAAGCAGCAAGAAGCCTGGCATTCTCCTCCACCTTGACCTTTTATATGGGCTGCCATCAGAAGGTAACACCCACATTTAGGGTGTGTCTTCCAGCTTCAGATGATCCAATCAAGAAGATCTCTTTCATTTCAGTTAATCCCAGATCCAGTCAAGTTGACTCCCAGGATTAGCCATCATAGGATGTTAGCCAGTGCTGTAGTCAGTGGTTTGAAACTATAGAATCTGCTTTTAAGATGGCTTACTCATATGGCATGCTACAGGCAAAAGGCTTCTCTTATTCACCATGTAGACTTCATCAAGCAACATGGCAGCCAGCTTCCTGTACAAAGCCGTCAGCCAAGAGAGGCAATGATGGAAACCACAATGCATTTTGTAATCTAGTCTCTGAAGACAGAGATGTTCAAAGTACCTCCTTTCTTAGACATGCCTTCCTCTCAAGTATCGAAGTGGAATGCCAGGAGGCAGAGTATTGACACCATTGGGAAAGTCAGTTGCTATACTTAGTAATAAGAACAGGCACATTTCTCTTTTCATAGGAAGTTCTGAAAAAATTCTTTCAGGTATTCCACAGATAGTAATTTAATACCTAGTACATGCTTGTTGTGGTGGTAGATAAGTATACAAAAGCATAGAAAATAAACTGTGGTCTTGGTTGTAAAGCAGTATGTAGCATTAGAGAGAGGAAAACACATAATAATCCTGACATTTAGCCTCAGGGACATTGGGTTAGCCTTCCTTCATGTCACATTATACCCTTTAAGTCCATCTGCTACTTTTGAAAAATTAGGACAACTGTTATCTTGAGTCAGGAATATGAAAAGTTTATATATGAAAATCTAAATTTGCATATGCAATATCAGAATTCCACAGTATACATATTGACATGTTGTTAGTGACAATTTAAGATTTCAGACTTTTATAGGATTTTTAAGTAAGAACTTATGTCACAAAGTCCTTGGCTCATCTTGAGTAACATCCTTCTTGAACACAAGTCCTAACTTAGAATTTTGCTTTATAATTGCTTACTCGGTGACTGAGTGAATTCACTTTCATATGGTAAATTTAAAATGTTAGAAGTCTTCTCTGTAGAAAGATACCTGTGGAAAAAAAATGTTTGAAACCTTTTATTCTTGACTTTTCCATTCTCTCTATGCTCCACCAGAGTACAGATGATGTCTATATTTTTAATCATTTAGTCATTTAAACAGTCTCAGTGTTACAGTTAAGGCTAATAATAGATGTTGAGTGAGTAGAAAGAAAGGGAGATATCTGTCACTCAGGGTAGGATGGTAGTCAGGTCTGTTAAACTGGTGCTGTGAGAGCTTAGAAGGGGGTTTCCTACTAGAAAATAAAGAAAGTCTTCATGGAGCAGGTGACATTTGCCCTGGGTAAAGAATAAGAACTGGAGAATCCAGATGTGTATCCATGTAGAGGTGAGTAAGAGATCAAAGCCAGAGGCTAAAGAGGGACCCAGTCCAATTAGGCATGTGTGTACCTGTTGAGAACATGCTCTCAGTGAAGGCTGGGGTTGAAAGTAGTGAGCCAGCTGAGTTTGATGCTTTCAGATGTCAGTGTTTCTAACAGGCAAGCTGACACACAAATAAGTGTGGTGTGGTAGAGGAGACCCTTCTGTGGGAATGAAGGAGCATCAACAATGGCTTCTGAAAGAAGTGATAGTCTTGTGATGAGAGTGAACAGAAGGAAGACAATTCAGTTAGAGATCGAGAACAGAGATATAGCCCAAGCCCCAGTCAACAGTGCGGAAGCAGATCACAATTCAGGGCCAGCCTGGGCTATGCAGTGAAACTCTGTCTGAAAAAAGAAGTAAGCAAGAACAAAGGCATAGGAATAAAAAATAGCTGATCTGAGCAAAGAAATACTTAGGTGTGGCAGAGACCAAGTAAGGGAGGAGTGAAGCTTGTGACAGGGCTTTTGAATATCGGATCATGAGGTCCACAGGGTCTGAGCTGAAAGATATCAAATACTCTCACAAACTCTGATTTCAATCCTTCAACCTATTTTATCAGGATTTTTTTCAAATTGGCTATTTTTGCTATAGTTATGGAACTATAAAAATGTAAAATATGATATCATTGTGAATTATAAGCTCCTTGATAACAAGGAATATAAACCTTTTGTTGGGTATTATTCCTACATATCATCTGTTACTTGGGTTATGAATTCATTCAACTCTCACCTTTCATTGTATAAGGCAATTAAGTATTTTAAGCCTCTTACTTGAAATATGGAAAACAGATTTGGAGTTTATTAGCTTAACTTGATGTCACACTGCAATCTGGGATTGTAAATGTTAAGTTAAAATTCTTTATCAGTTATGTAATTCTGTAACTTTTACTAAAAACCATTGAATTGTACACTTTAAATGATGCATTATGAATTATATTGCAAATAAAACTCTTAAAATAGTAAAATAGATAAGAGATTCACTTTTCAGAAAGCTTCAGAGATATGATGAAGTGCTGCAACTTTCATGACCACTGCAAATTATTCCTTTTGTAATAAACTATTGTGTCCAGATAACAGGATGATTCTGTTAGTATAATTTGTAAATTCGAGGAAAATAAGAATTATTAGAAAATCATTTATCAAACCTAACTGAGAACCCCAGTTTAAAACTATGAAATGTTGGAAAGAAGCAGATAGGTACGAACTGGTGCGTGTCCACTATAGAGGATAAAACTATGCAAGTAGAGGAACTTTAATCCAAACAGGGAATTAAGTACAACACTTTGTGCTTCTCAGAAGTGACACCTGAGTTAATATCTGCAGTTTGAATTTGCAAGGTGAGTAGGGGCAGGGAGGCAAGAGGATGTTGCACATAGAAGAATTAGTATATATGAAAGATCAGGGAGAAGAAAGCAGGCAGTCATTGGGAGGACTCTTAAGGCATTTGACATATGTGATCCTAAGTAGATGCTGGAGTATGAGGAGAAGGGAGAAGAGCTGGAAATAGACATGGGTTAGATCATGAAGGATGCTCAAAATTCTATTACATCTTCACTTAGTCCCAAAGCCATTAAGATTGAAGCTATTTTTTTCTAGAGGAATGGTATTTGTGCTCAGATTCACTCTGAATCATAGTGACTGTAGGAGTGCACTGCAGTAAAGAAGCCCCTGGGAAGTAGCTAGAATAATTTAGGTGAGAGATGGTGCTGGCTTTAACCAAGAGCACTGCCTTGGAATGGAGAAACAACAGTAGATTGCAAAGCTTTTAATGTATCTTTGTATGAAGTGATAACTGCTTAAAAGGAAGAGATGGAGGATTGCGAGCCAGTGCTTAGCTTTTGGCCTAGGTGAGCAGATGAATGTTGGTACCATTAACTGAGATATAGAGAACTTTGAAGGACAGGACTGAGAAAGGGAACATGTTGAAGATAGTCATTTATGTTAAATTTGAATGATGGTAGATCCCAGTGTACAGACGGTTTGTATATAATATAGTTTGGAGTTTAAGTCAGAGAAAGGCACAACATTTTGCCATTCATTGTTGAGTGCACAAGTGAACAAACTCCCCCATGGAAAAAGAACAGAGTGTGAAAGGTGAAGGAAACCAAAATAGAAGTCAGAATAATGGCCTTGGGGTATAGCTCAGTACAGAGAACTTGCCTAGCAGGGGCATTGTGCTGGGTTAAAGCTCCGTACTTCACAAAACAACAAATAAAAAAGAAACCTGGGAGCATAGGGGAGAGATGCAGGAAGTTTTTGCTTAACCCATATTTTATACAATCATTCATGCCTAAAAAGGAAAGAATTTAAAGAAAACAATGTGAGTGCCAGTCCATCACTATTATTAACTCCTGATGTAAGCATATTTCTTTCAGCCTCTGCCTGAATAGCTTCTTTAAATAGTCCCATCATTCCTACAGTGCGCTGGACATAATAAGTTATGGATCATTAGCTTGATTCTGTATGTCTCCTAACATTGAAGGAGAGAGTAGGGAAGTCATAAATCTATTGGAGGACTAATAGTTGCTTTGTATTTTTAATGTGACTTGAGACTTTGCTAAGTTATTTTGGTGTTCTTTCTATTTTAGAATCAGGTGAACTGGAGCCTACATGTGTCCAATGTAAAGATGGTTACACAGGCCAGAACTGCAATAAATGTGAAAATGGCTATTACAATTCTGACAGCATCTGTACACGGTGTGAATGTCACGGCCATGTGGACCCAATTAAAACTCCAAAGATTTGCAAGCCTGAGAGTGGTGAGTGCATCAGCTGCCTCCATAACACCACTGGGTTCTGGTGTGAGAACTGCCTCGAAGGCTATGTCCGGGACCACCAGAGAAATTGCATCAAGAAAGGTAAAACTCCACCTAAGGGTGCAAATTTAGTTTGTAAGGCTAGCATTGAAAATTTCAAGACCGCTACCATTAGCTTTGTAAAACCTTCCAGTCCCACCAGAGGAGTTTCTGGAAATAAATTTTGATAGGTGCTTGCCTAAAGAGGTTTTCTTCCCTTCCTGGTTCTCCCGATATTCCAGAATCAACTCGAGAGATGTGAAGACCAACACAAGTCGATGCAACAGTGAGATTGAGTGTGCTCACATCCTCCCTTCACCTATTTTCATGTTGGCAAGTTAATAGGCCTATCATGTCTTCTGTCCTTTGCTTCTTTATTCATCACTTCCAGTGATCACCAGAGGTCTTTGCAGGTAGGGACCTGTAATCTGGTTAAAGTGCCAGCTGGGAAGTTGGAGTTCATCCCAGCATCCCTCCTAACTTTGAGCTAAAATCGCTCCATATGTGTCAGAAGAAACATTATTTCTTTTGATTTGAAAAAACAAAACAAAAATGTTATTCATGAGCTGGAGAGATGGCTCAGCGGTTAAGAGCACTGGCTGCTCCTACAGAGGACCTGGGTTTGATCCCCAGCACCCACGTGGTGACTAAGAACCATTTGTAACTTCAGTTCCAGTGAATCCCACACCCTCTTCTGACTTCCATGGGCATTGCATGACGTGGGTGCACTTATATACATGCATACACTCATACATATAAAAATAATAAATACAATACAAAAAACCCTAAAACATTATTCACATGATAGACTGTTTCTTGTGAAGAAGTTGAGTAAGGATTCAGAAAAAAAATGATAAATCTAGGAGGAGTTAAGGATGTCCAGGGGTTATTAGGTCACAGAGAGGTTAGAGGCTCTTCTAAAAACCACTCTTTGATATTCTAATACACTGATTACTGGGCTGAAGTATTAGTTGGTCTGTGGCCTGTGGCATCTTTCTGCCATTTTTTTTTTAAATATCCTTATAAGGTGGTGATCAAATTGAACTGCATCACCAGCTAGGAACACTACCACTCATTGCTCTCCTGTTTGCAAGGCACACCTTGTCAACAGACAGGGCTGTGTTTGTTTTTATCAGTAGTATAAGCTTTGCCACTTTTGGGGATAATTGATGTGGATGATTTTGGTGATAAGTAATAATAATTACTGTTTTTGTAATTTTATTGAGTACCCACTATGTGTCAAGCGCTATAAGCATTACATGTACTAATATTCACTAAATTCTCCCTAAAAACGCTGTGAAGTATACATATAATCTATACCTAACAGATAAAGAATCTAAAGTTTTAAAAGATTGACTTATCTGTAGCAATACAGTTCTGTTTGAATCCAAACCCTTAATTGCTCCACTGAACTATGCTGTCTTTAGAAGTACACAGTGTAGTTCCTTAATTATAAACGAGTTACAATATATCCAAAGAGAGAATTCTAGCATGAAATTAAAAGAAAGCTGTTTTCTATTTTGACTGACATCAACTTTAAGCATTTAAATTCTGTATTTCTGAATAGTTTTTCCTATGCTTCCTTTGAGGAGGATTTTGCATTTATGCAATGCCGCCAGACATCTTGAACTTCTTTTAGTTCAAGTGATTGTGACTTTTAACCATGTGATTTAGAATTCAGTAATGACACATTTACTGCCGCTGCAGAAATTTCCATGACTATTCATGAATTGAAGAGAGAAGGAAAACTCTGTTAGAATTTCCCTAAAGATTTCAGTATAGATATACATACATTTCAGTATAGATATACATACAACAGACCTGGATATAATAAGCTAGCCTTCCGGACCCTGTTTCTTATCATTATATTTCTTTAAAAATTATTTCTGACTTGCATTACCTAAAGCAGAATACCATGTCAACATCCCATATCAACTTCCACTCCCATGTGTGTTTCTTTGTTTCTCAGAACTAGATAATTTTGTCTTTTACATTTCATTCTCTGTTTTTATTTTCAGAAGTTATTGTTCCAACACCTGAAGGTTCTACCATTTTGGTTTCCAATGCCTCTTTGACCACATCAGTGCCCACCCCTGTTATAAATAGTACATTTGCCCCCACAACCCTGCAGACTATCTTTTCAGTAAGCTCTTCTGAAAACAGCACCTCAGCTTTAGCTGATGTGTCATGGACCCAGTTTAACATCATCATTTTGACAGTCATCATCATTGTGGTGGTGCTGCTAATGGGGTTCGTAGGAGCTGTGTATATGTACCGGGAGTACCAGAACCGGAAACTCAATGCTCCCTTTTGGACCATCGAGCTGAAAGAAGACAATATCAGCTTCAGCAGCTACCATGACAGCATTCCCAATGCAGACGTGTCGGGATTGTTGGAGGATGATGGCAATGAAGTGGCTCCCAATGGGCAGCTGACCCTGACGACACCCATCCACAACTACAAAGCCTGAGGCGCTGAGTAGTCCTCCCGGACTGTCAAGCCGCAGTGCTTACTAAGCTGGCATCTGCCTTTGGGCCACACAAAGTTGAGAAAGGCAAATAGTGCAGATGAACTGTTGAGTTACAAAGCTCTACGCGCTTAGGCTCTCTGTTGCTCTTAATTTTCCCATAAAGGTCTGAGCGTTCATTGTCATTGAGGACTTGAAGTAAAGTATATTTTTGTATCAAACCACATGGGTTTATGGAAAGGCCGAATCCCACAGAGCACCCCAAACCTACTTAGCTTCCTAATGGACTGTTGGGGAAGTGTTCACCTCACCAGCCACAGCAGAATGATGGATGTGGAGGGGAAAAGACTGATGGACAACTTCGTCTCCATTCCTGAAAAATAGTTTTCAAAGGAGATGCAGGAATTGCATTCACTTTACTGTACTGAGGACATAAGTGAGGAAAAGCAGGTGTCTAGGCTGAATCACAATGTACAGTCTTGGTTGTATCTAGAATAGGGGCAGAAAGAAGGGCTTGATTTTTCCTCCCAAGATTCTCATTCAATGATGGGATTAAAGCACAAGATAAGCTTCTAGTGGTGGAGAGCAGGAAACTGATGGTCCTCAGGGGCTCAGTGTAAATGATAAGTTGTCTAACAATAAGGAAGATTCCTGCCTCTAGAGAAATAAGGTGTACATAGTTAATGTAGCATATCTGTCAACATTGTGCTTGTATCTATTTGTAAAAAATCATGTCACATTTTGTCATCTAGACTTTATTTGTACAGCAGTTAATGGTATTGTAAAAAGAAAATATGGGAATTGGTTAAAATACTCTAAAATAGGTGGCAATATTACTAGAGCTGGGACTCTGGTGAGTATCAGTCGTTTTTAGTCCCTATTTGGACACTGTTGAAATTTATAAAGGGTTGAATGTTTCTGATCTTTCCTTTCTTCCTCAACCTAGAGTTATATGCTCTTTGACTTACCACAGATTTAAGCAATAGATTCTGAAGTCAGTAATTGTTTAGCTGGGACACAGGTTGCATTCTCCAAAGCACTCACCTAATTAGCCACTCTGTTTTACATAGATGAGTATAAAACATATCTTCAGTAAAAGACTTCTCTCCTGAATGTAAAAGATAGTCTTCCAAAGGTCAGAGATTTTGAGTTCAAAAAGAAAAGCTGTCACATCACTTGAGATCCCTTATTTTCATGCCTGTGAAATACTTGTCCCCCCAGAACCCCCGCAATAAGAAGCCTCCTACATTTGTACATAACTTGTCACTCCTGCATCATGGGTGTGTTTGTCTTCTGTAATGCTATAGTCCTTCCATCTTCTTGTCTGGGCAGAGGGTCACCCTGAAGTTGGGTGTATGTTTAGTCCTTGCTTTTAGATGCCATTTTTTTCCCTGAGGTCAACGACTGTTGTCCTCATCTGTCATGTATCGACAGGTTGTGGCTTAAGCAAGTCAAAAAAGGTGGGCCAAAGCAAATGTATACATTTATTAGGAGGAACCACAGGCTGAGAAGAGGTTAGGAAAAAAAATGAACAACTAGACCTAGGAAATTCAGACTGACCCCTTTGCTTAACTTTCTCAGAGAGGAAAACCTAGAATTTGATCACCCTCTGTAGGAGATCCCTAACTTGTTCTCAGGGTTTGGAGATGACACTCTAGACTAGAGGGAATATGGCTAACCTTAGGGCACTTTGCGTATTTAGCCATCTTCATAAGAGTAGATGTTACATTATATCATACTTAACAGTTTAATGGCTGGAATGTGGCTCAGGTGACTGATTGCCTAGCATATGTGAGGTGAGTCTTTGGGTTCACTCCCCAGCACTACAAAATCAATCCATATTCATATTGCCCTTTGTCATTTACAAAGCACTTTTCCATGTGTGTTCTTCGCTCCTCACTATAGCCTCCAAACAAAGTAACCTTGTACCTATTTTACAGAAGAGGAGACTGAGGCTCAGAGGCTAAACTGTTCAGGGCTATACAGTGTGCATCATTATTATGCTTAGAATCAGAACTTCAACTCTACAGCATAGTCTTTTGACTAAATGCTAACATAGAAATCAGCTAGCCAAGGGCCTAGGAGGCTGGGAAGGAATGCTGCCATTTGTCGATGCTTTTGCTGTGTGTGCATGTCTGCCAGGTACAATTCAGGGCCACACAACTACAAAGGATTTTGTGGAAAGGACACAGGAAGAATTCTATCTAAAGCCAGAATTAGTGAGGAGAAAACAAGCTGCCAGTTTGTACTTCATTAAATGAACTGAGCAGGGAGGGGAACCTGCCTTCCCCAGCAGCTGCAGCATAGGTGTGTATGGACTGTGTACCACACAATTCCAAAGCATTGTGCAAAGTGACTACCTGCCTTTCTCCCCGGAACCCCATCTCTTACCAAAGTGAAGGTAAGGAGATGGAAACTAAACATTTGTTAAACACATGTTTACCCAGTATATAAAGGAGTGTTTGGCAGAGTCTGAGAGCCAAAGTCAGTCAAGATTCCGGCTGTGTAGAGATTCCTCGAAACAGATCTTAAAAGATACTGAAAAAATTTAAACCACAAAGAATGCTTATCAAGTACTTGCTAACAGCTTCCAATTCATGTTCTAATTTTTCACAGTGGAAAACAATGAATGCCTTAAAATTTATTTTAAATGATCTTGTTTAGTGACTTCATGTTTTGCTTGTAGAAATAATTTTGCTCTGAAGTATAAATCAAGCACGGGGCAATCTCCCCAGTGTGAATGCAGTGCAGGGTCCTCATTCCTCTGCAGACTTCACCACCCAGCAGCAGGAGCTGTGAGTCCTCTAGAAAACCTAATGCTGGAGGAGATTTTGTCTAAGGATTGGACATGTGCTGCTTTTAAAGCATATCACAACATGGACCTTACTAAGAAATGGCCATCACTGCTGCAAAGCAGTGCTTGCCTTCATTAGCACTCCATAGTGAGCCCTGTGCATTTCTGATAGGTGGATACTGTAGTCAGTGTTAAACATGTGTTTGACCTTCCTTTCTTCCCCCTCCTTCCACTCTGTCCCTCCAGGGCTCTCTTATTTATGGAATCTCTCCAATTATAGAGAAAACAAAATAGTATAAAGTCTCTTATTTATACAGAGGTTCTATGGACTCAGTGCATTATTTTTCCCAGGGATGCCTGAGAAATTCTAAGAAAGGGCAACATGACAGACATGAGCTGGAAGGAAGAGAGAATTTTTTTTGACAGAATTTATATAAGCTCCAAGTGATAAGGCTTCTAAGTCCCAGTATTCCCAGGATCATTAACCAATGAAACAACACTCACTCAACCTGGCATCTGCATACCATCAAGATGTGTAGCCCTTGTGCTGTTTTGGAAAAAGAGAGCCAGTTATTAGGTTATTAGATCATTTGCCTTGACCCTATGCTTTTTTTAAGGACACTAGTGAACACCAGATTGTTTGTAATGACTATCCCTGCTTATATTTTGAGGTATGTGGGTAAGAACTGAATTTCTGTATTTCTCAAGGAAAGCTCTGACAAAATATTCAGTGAAGTCAAAAGCAACATGATGTAATCTATTAGGGCAACAGAAGTCTTTCTGATATCATCCACCAAAAGAAAAAAAATCAACTGTAGTCTGTTGTGATTTTGACAATGAGCAGTTTGGAAACTGAAATGGGTTTGGAGTGTGTGAGCAAGGGGTGGGGGCGATGGAAGATCACTATGTTTTTCTCTTTCACCCAGAGCCATTGACTGTGTCATGGGGAGGCAGGGAAAACACAGTGATTCATCTGAAGAAGTCAAACACTATCAAATGGCTAAAGGTTGTGGACCATTCAAATGTCAGTGGTGAAATGATGCTTTCAAAGGCGGTTGGATCTTTCTCCCTTGTTACATATGTGTATGCAGAAACTGCAGCATCCATCCTGGAGTGTGAGCCCAAAGCTTCAGATTCAAGTTAGCCCAAAAGCTAAATGATTTCAAGTCAACTTTTAATGCTAGGCACAAGCATTCTGTAATAAGTTAACTTTTTTTTCAACCCAAGCAATTAGGGAATGTTTCTAAAACGTTAAACTTGTATATGTCACTAAAATTCTAACACAAATTTTAAAACATGTCTCATATGTATGCTGTGCCAGGCTTCATGATGCATTTCTAAATTTGTGTATGATTTGAATATATGAAAGAATTTATACAAGAGTGTTATTTAAAATTATTAATAAATGTATATAATTTGTACCTATTGTAGATTCGTTTCACTTTTTTATGTGGTGAAAGATTGTAGAGGTCTTTGTATAAGTGGTAGAGCACGTCATGAAAGTCTTTGACTCCTTTATGTATTGGCCAAGATCTTAAGTTCATTTAAAGAAAAGAATGTCTTTCACTTGGGGAGATGATTCATTCTCAAAGCAAATACACACCTGAAATGAAAATATATGTTAATACAGATTCTTGGGTTGGGATGTGGCTTAGTGGTAGGGCACTTGCTGGCCTGCACAAGGCCGGGGGTTCCATCCCTAGCACTGCAAATAATAAACAATAGCGTATATTCTTGTTTGTGCTTTTTCTGTCCTCTGTGAAGTTCATTGGGATTTCCATGGAAATTATGTTGAGCAGAATGATTCCCTCTAGATTTCTCACACATATGAAGAATTTCTGAAATCTGAAAGTAAACCACATTCTATGTTTATTAGGTATCCCATAACAACACATTATTTTAAGGTACCCTTGAAAAGCTCTGTTCTAACAAAGTTAAACCATGTTTAATGAGGTGCCATCTAAGACATCCAAGGGGTGTTTTGAAAAGATATCACAAGAAGTCAATCGTTTCTTTGTGCTGAGTTTTAAACCCCGAATTAGTTTATTCTACTTTGATAGGCCACAGTGGCTCACCCCTGTAATCTCAGCATTTGGGAGGTGGAAGGCAAGACAATCAAGAGTTCAAGGTCATCCTTGGCTATATAGTGAATTCTAGACCAGCCTGTCTATGTAAGACTCCCCCCTAACACACACACACACACACACACACACACACACTTTATTTTTTGAGACATGGTCTCCCTGTAGCCCCAGCTGATCCCAAATTCACTGTAGATCAGGCTGGCCTCAGTTTCACAGAGATCCACCTGGCTTTGCCTTGCAAGTGCTACGATTTTTTTTTTGAGACCCATTTTTAAAAAGAAAATTCAATTTCACTTGCTTAATGTTTAATTTTTAAACATTTTTCTATTTTCCTGTCATTCCATTCACACAAGAAAATAGGTTTAATAACTGTAATCACACCTATATATTTAACATGATTTTGTGATATGTATGAATTAGGTACTGTCTTAAGGGAATGTAATTATGGCAAGAAGCTACATAAATTTTCAACAGAAAAACAATCTATAAAAATTTACCACACCAGAAAGAAATATCACTAAAAACATTTTTATTCATACTTTTGATGAAAGTCTATAAAGACATTTACATTGAATGGTCAAAATCAATTGTAAAAGTCAGGCATGGTGGCACATGCCCTTAATCCCAGCACATGGGAGGCTGAGGCAAGCAGATCTCTGTGAGACTGAAGTCAGCCTGTTCTCCATAGTGAGTTCAGGCCAGCTGTGGCTACAGGGAGACCCTGTCTTCTGTCTTCATTTCTGTAGGAGATGAGACACATGCTCCATTGTAATTAAATCACTAACATCACAGTCACTATTGTAATTTATTTTATTAATTTAAAAATTTACTTTTATGTATATGGGTGTCTTGCCTGCTTGTATGTAAGTGCACCCATGTCATACAATGCCTGTGGACGCCAGAAGAAGGCGTTGGATCCCTTGGAACTGGAGTCACAGCTGGGAATCAAAGCTGGGTCCTCTGCAAGAACAATCAGTGCTCTTGACTGCTGAGCCATCTCTCTAGCCCCTTCATCTTTGTGTGTTTGTGTGTGTGTGTGTGTGTGTGTGTGTGTGTGTGTGTGTGTTACTGAACATCAACCCCTGGGCCTCATACATGCTAGACTAGTACTCCACCAATAAGCTGCATCTCTAGTACTTGCTTAGTTATATTTTCAAAATTAAGCTAGGGCTGGTGAGACGGCTGAGTGGATAAAGACACTTGTTGCATAAGTCTGGAGACCTGAGTTCAATCACCAACACCCATGTAAAAGTGGAAGGAGAAAACTGATTCCACAGAGTTGTCCTCTAACCTCCATATCCACACTCTAGCACATGCACCCATATACACACATTATGCACACACATGCAAAATAATAAAAATAAAAAATTTAGGATAAAATTTAATTTAAATTTAAATTAGTGTTTTTCCAGAGATGATGGCCCTAGGAGTGTTCACCAATGGGCTGAAAAGCAACATTCTATATGTCAGGGTTAAAATCATAGTTTTACCTATAAATCAGTTTTTGAAGCTATTTTACAAAAAAAAATTACAGTAAATATTTTTCAGACTTTCTAATACTTCTATTGCAAAATGAAAGTCATTGAACAATTGTGGGTCTCTTCCCTCGCGGGTTGTTGGCCATCGATCCGCGAGAGCAAAGGGAGCAGAGGCGGTGAGCAGGGGCAGGACGGCCATGAGTACGACGGAAAAACCTCCTGGGAGTCGGCTTCGGTGAGACAACTCATTTATTGGGGCGGGGGGCGGAATAGGGGGTGAAGACAGCAGCCAAAGCTTCACCTGATAGGTGTTCATAGTATGCTTTATTTGCACGTGTCAGGAGGACCCTATCATGTAGAGAGGGGAGGTGGGATTGCCTGGCTGTAGTGCAATGTCTAATTATACTGGAAAACCAGGGGCAGCTCTTGCAGGTAACGATGCCAAAGGTCATGTTCCAAATAAGGCCAGGCATCTGTGCTTGGAGACACTTTCCAAATAAGGTCAGGCAGAGAGTAGGAAGCCCCTGCTGAGAAAGGGAGTCCTCCATTCAGCGCCGAGCTCCATAGAGCTATCCGGACATGTGGACTGTGACCTTAACAGCAGGGTCCCCCAACAAACAATATTAAAATGTATTGTTGGGCCTGGAAAGATGGCTCAGATATTAAGAGCACTGGATGCTCTTGCAGAGAACCCAGGTTCAGTTCCCAGCTCCCACATGTCAGCTAGCAGCCTTCTATAACTCCAGTTCCAGGGGTTCTGATGCCCTCTTCTAGCCTCCACAGGCATTGCATGTATGTGGTACACTTACATACAGACATAACACTCATCCATATAAAATAAAAATGAGCTTAAAACATTTTAAAAATAAAATATTGCTTGAGAATATACTTGATTGTATTAAGAAATTTTAAACCTTGTAGGCTGGGCTGATGGCTCCATCAGTAAAGTGTTTGCTGTGAAAGTAAGAGGACTTGAGTTCAGATCTCCAGCACCCACATCAAGGTCCAAGTATGTATGGCACAGCCACCTGTCATCCCAGTCCCAGTGTTCAGGCATCAGAGACAGGCAGATGTCTGGAGCTTGCTGGCCAATCAGTCTGGCCAAATTGGGGAGCTGCAGGTTCGGTGAGAGACCCTGCCTCAAAGAATAAGATGGAGAATGACTGAGGAAAGCATCTAGTAATGACCTCTGGCCTCCACACATGCACACACATGTGTACATGTACCCACAAGCAGACATGCACACATATAAACACACATCACACACACACACACACACATTCTTGTGTGCTGGCTGAATTGAGCACTGCACTTCAGATAATTACAGAAAAAAACAGGCAGATGTTTTCTTTGCTTGGAACAGCAAAGAAAGCACTTGAACTGTTTAGGAGACTTCTTGTGGTTTCCTTTGCATTGTCAGACCAACTGCTAAAATCATGTGTTGATACTTTAATTTTTGCCCTAAATAAGAAGGAATCACAGCTCTTGCCCACCATGTTCATTACCATTAGACTCCTTTCACTCATGTTATTTCCTACACGTATTTGGGTTTTAGAAAGTCTTTTTCCCTTTGTCACTGCTGTTCCTCTCCCTAACACATTCCAAGACTTTTTATTCATCCTGCACAGCTCTCTGCTGGAGGAAGTTTATCATCCCTTTTGCCTAGTAAATACCTCTTCACACACACGCTACTGTGATACATTATGAATGCTTACAGTGTGGTGGTTTAAAACTGACTGCTCTTGCAGAGGACCCAGGTTCAATTCCCAGCACCCACCTGGCAGCTCACAACTGTCCATAACTCCAGTTCCAGGAGAATCCAATGCCCTCTTCTGACCTCCGCGGGCATTGCATGACATGGGTACACTTATACATGCAGGCAATACACTCATACACATAAAACAAAAATAAAATATTTTTTAAAAAAATAATTGGCTTATGAACTTATGTGGCAAATATCATAATACATCTTATATACAGTGGGTAGTACTGCTATGCGAGTATGGTTTGTCTTTCTAGACTCTCCTGTGCTGGAGGCTTGTTCCCCAGGATAGTGGTGTGGAGGAGGTGGAACCTTGCAAGAGACAGAACTGTGAGAGGTGGCTAGGTCTTAAGTCAGATTGGTACTTTTGTCAGTGTGTGCTCATGCTCATAGTAGGTCCCAAGAGAGGGTTTTTTTTTTTTTTTTTTTTTTTTTTGGAGAGTCTGATCCCTCCTCCTTGTGTCCTGCTGCCCACTCTTGAAAGTACTCCTGCCATTGTTATATTACCCACTGTGAGGCCCTTGTCAGAGCCAAGCAGACACAAACCTTGTTCTTGAAACTCCAGAACTGTGAGCTAAATAAAACTCTTTTCTTTATAAAGTTCTTAGCCTTGGGTGTTTTATTGTAGCAATGCAAATGGACTAAGAGAAGGGTAGTAATTTCTTGTTCAAGAGACATATCAACATACAGGTTTCTGAGGGTTCAAAGAACACTTGAAATTATATGTTGTTTTGTTATGAATGTAATTTCTTTTCCTAGTGAGAAATACCTTAAATCACACTCTCAAAAGAATTTTTTATCTATATTTTACTTGGATGAGTGTTTTGCTTGCATGTCTATAAGTGCACCTGTGTCATATAAAGACTATAGAGGCCAGAAGAAGGGGTTGGATCCCCTGGAACTGGAGTTATAGATGGTTGTTAGCCACCATTTGGGTGCTGAGAATTGAACCCAGGTCGTCTGTAAGAGCAGCCAGTGCTCTTAACTGCTGGGCCAACCATCTCTCCAACCCCTTAATAATTAATCTTTCTTAATGATTATATTTTTCAAGTACATGCATTAAACTATCTCCCTAGAGTTTGGGATCTAGAATTTGCTCTTA